TAATGGGTTATTAAGCTGCTCCTAATTATTAGCCCCCCCTTATTAACCCCATTATTAGGCTCCTCCCCCTAATTATTAACCCATTATTAATGCCATTCCGCTAATTATTAGCTCCTAATTCTCTTATTACTGCCATTTTAGGCTCCACCCCCTAATTATTTACCCGTTATTAATGGTCTTCTGCTAATTATTAGCCCCTCCCCCTAATCATTAAGCCATTATTAGGCCCCTTCTCCTGAGTAGGAGGCCACTGTTAGCCCCCTTCTGCTAATTATTAGCCCCTCCTCTCATTATTAAGCCCAACCCCCTAATTATTAGCCCCTCCTCCAATTATTAACCCCATTATTAGGCCCGTCCCCTCAATTATTAGCTCCTCCTCCAACTATTAACCATATTATTAGGCCCCTCCCCTAATTATTAGCCCCTCCGCTCATTATTAACCCCATTATTAGGTCCCTCCCCCTAATTATTAGCCCATCTTCTCATTATTAACCCCATTGTTAAGCCCCTCCCCCTAATTATTAGTCCCTTCTCCAACTATTAACCCCATTATTAGTTCCCTCCCCCTAATTATTAGTCCCTCCTCCAACTATTAACCCCATTATTAGGCCCCACCCCCTAATTATTAGCCCCTCTTCCAATTATTACCCCCATTATTAAGCCCCTCCCCCTAATTATTAGCTCCTCCTCTCACTATTAACCCCATTATTAAGCCCCTCCCCAATTATTAGCCCCTCCTCCAACTATTAACCCCATTATTAGTCCCCTCCCCTAATTATTAGCTCCTCCTCTCATTATTAACCCCATTATTAAGCTTCTCCCCTAATTATTAGCCCCTTCTCCAACTATTAACCCCATTATTAAGCCCCTCCCCCTAATTATTAGTCCCTCCTCCAACTATTAACCCTATTATTCCCCTCCCCCTAATTATTAGCTCCTCCTCTCATTATTAACCCAATTATTTGGCCCCTCCCCCTAATTATTAGCCCCTCCTCCAATTAATACACCCATTATTAAGCCCCTCCCTCTCATTAATAACCTATTATTAGGCCCCTCCCCCTTATTATTACCCCCATTATTAGGCCTTCCCCCCCCATCTCCCCCCCCCCAATAAAGAGGGGGTTGCTCCATCGGCTAAGGGGGCGTGGCCTGGGAGCCCCGCCCCTTTTAAGCCCCGCCCCCTCCCCTCCCCCCATTGTTTCTCCTTAGGTTTTATTGCGCCGGCGGCGACCGTAAGTGCCAAATTCTCCTTTTTTCACCCCAAAAAACCCCACCCCCCCACCCCCAAAAATGGGCTCGTCCGCCCCTCCCCCCCCCATTCCTCACCCCGCGGGGGGAGGGGGGGGGGTTCAAACCCCCCCCCCAAAAAAAAAAGCCTCAAAACCACCCAAAATGCCCCAAAATCCAGGGGGGTTTCCCCACCCCCCCACCCCCCCCTTTCCCCTCCCCCCACCCCCCCTTTGGCCCCTCCCCCCTCCTCGATTTTGGGTCTTTTTGACCCTTTTTCAGGCGTTTTTTGAGGGATTTTAATGATTTTTTTTTTCCTTTTTTTTTTTTTTTTAATTTTTTTATTTTTTTCCCCCCTATTTTTCTTTTTTTTTTTTTTTTTTTTCACCCTTTTTTTCCTGTTTTTTTTTTTATTTTTTTATTTTTTTATTTTTTTCCGGCTCGGTTTTTCCATCGCTTCCGGCCTTTTTCCGGGCCCCGCCCCCCTCTCCTTTAAGCCCCTCCCCCTTTCAAGCTCCACCCACTTTAAGCCCCGCCCCCCCCCCCTCCTCCCCACACCAACCTTTGAAGTCGCCGCCGATCCCCTCCCCCCCCACACCCCCTCCCCCCACACCCCCCACAGCACCGGAGCGGATCCAGAGCCCCCCCCTCGACGGTAAGAAAGGGGTCAAAGGGGGGAGGGGGGAGGGGCTTGGGGGGGGGGGTGGGGGGAGGGGTCCATTGGGGCCCATAGAGCCCCATTGGGACCCGTTGATCCCCATTGGGGTCCATTGACCCCCATTGGGACCCATAGAGCCCCATTGGCGTCTGTTGACCCCCCATTGCGACCCATTGACCCCCATTGCGACCCATTGATCCCCATTGGGACCCATTGACCCCCATTGGGGCTCATTGACCCCCATTGGGGTCCCTTGGGGCCCATAGACCCCCATTGGGGTCCATTGACCCCCATTGGAGCCCATTGACCCCCATTGGGGTCCCTTCGGGCCCATAGACCCCCATTGGGGTCCATTGACCCCCATTGGGACCTGTTGACCCACATTGGGGTCCGTTGACCCCCATTGGGACCCATTGACTCCCATTGGGGCCCATTGACCCACATTGGCGTCCCTTGGGGCCCATAGACCCCCACTGGGACCTGTTGACCCCCATTGGAGCCCATTGACCCCCATTGGGGTCCATTGACCCCCATTGGGACCCATTGACCCCCATTGGGGTCCATTGACCCCCATTGGGATTCGTTGACCCCCATTGGGGTCCATTGACCCCCATTGGGACCTGTTGACCCCCATTGGGAGCTGTTGACCCCCACTGGGGTCCGTTGACCCCCATTGGGACCCATTGACCCCCATTGGGACCCATTGACCCCCATTGGGGTACGTTGACCCCCATTGGGACCCATAGAGCCCCATTGGGGTTCATTGACTCCCATTGGGATCCCTTGGGGCCCATAGAGCCCCATTGGGGTCCGTTGACCCACATTGGGGTCCATTGACCCTCATTGGGACCCATTGACCCCCATTGGGGTCCCTTGGGGCCCACAGAGCCCCATTAACACCCACTGGGACATGTTGACCCCCATTGGGGTCCATTGACACCCGTTGACCTCCATTGACCGCCATTGACCCCTATTGCCATCCATTGACCCCCATTGGGATCCATTGACTCCATTGCGCCCCATTACCCCCCATTGACCCCCCATTGCCCCCATTGCCACCTATTGACCCCCATTGAGCTCCATTGACCACCATTGGCATCCACTGACCCCCATTGCCATCCGTTGACCCCCATTGGGTTCCGTTGACCCCCATTGGGTTCCATTGACCCCTGTTGCCATCCGTTGACCCCCATTGCTATCCATTGACCCCCATTGCCATCTATTGACCCCCATTGACCCCCATTGACCACCATTGACATCCGTTGACCCCCATTGGCCCCTATTGACCACCATTGACATCCATTGACCGCCATTGACATCTGTTGACACCCGTTGACCACCATTGGCACCCGTTGACTTCCATTGACCCCCATTGATCCCATTGACCCCCATTGGATTCCATTGACCCCCATTGGGTTCCATTGACCCCCATTGGGGTTCGTTGACCCCCATTGATCCCATTGACCCCCATTGGATTCCATTGACCCCCATTGGGGTTCGTTGACACCCATTGGGTTCCATTGACCCCCATTGGGTTCCATTGACCCCCATTGGGTTCCATTGACCCCCATTGACATCTGTTGACCGCCATTGATATCCATTGGCATCCATTGACCCCCATTGGGTTCCGTTGACCCCCATTGATCCCATTGACCCCCATTGGGTTCCATTGACCCCCATTGATATCCATTGATCTCCATTGACACCCGTTGGCATCCATTGACCCCCATTGGGTTCCATTGACCTCCATTGACCACCGTTGACCCCCATTGACCATCATTGACATCTATTGACCGCCATTGACATCCGTTGACCGCCATTGACATCCGTTGACCGCCATTGACCATCATTGACATCCATTGACATCTGTTGACACCCACTGACCCACATTGACCACCATTGGCACCCATTGACTTCCATTGACCCCCATTGATCCCATTGACCCCCATTGGGTTCCATTGACACCCATTGGGTTCCATTGACCCCCCATTGACACCCATTGACCCCCATTGGGTTCCATTGACACCCATTGACATCCATTGACCCCCATTGGGTTCCATTGACCCCCATTGACCCTATTGACCCCATTGACCCCCATTGGGTTCCATTGACCCCCATTGACCCCCATTGGGTTCCATTGACCCCCGTTGACTTCCATTGACCCCTGTTGAGTTCCATTGACCCCCATTGATCCCGTTGACCCCCATTGGGTTCCATTGACCCCCATTGGGTTCCATTGACCCCCATTGATCCCATTGACCCCCATTGGGTTCCATTGACCCCCATTGACTTCCATTGACCCCCATTGACCCCCATTGAGTTCCATTGACCCCCACTGACCCCAATAACCTCTCTCCCCTTCCTCCCTGCAGGCCCCCCATACCCCCCACCCCTATACCCCCCCAACCCCCCCACCACCACCATGGCCAGCAACGTGACCAACAAGACGGACCCGCGCTCCATGAACATCCATTGACCCCCATTGACATCCATTGACCCCCATTGCCATCCATTGACCCCCATTGGGATCCATTGACCCCCATTGGGATCCATTGACCCCCATTGCCATCCATTGACCGCCATTGATACCCATTGGCATCCATTGACATCCATTGACCGCCATTGATACCCATTGGCATCCATTGACATCCATTGATCGCCATTGATATCCATTGGCATCCATTGACCCCTGTTGATCCCATTGACCCCCATTGACTTCCATTGACCCCCATTGACACCCATTGACTTCCATTGACCCCCATTGATCCCCATTGGGTTCCATTGACCCCCATTGATCCCTTTGACCCCCATTGGGTTCCATTGACCCCCATTGGGTTCCATTGACCCCCATTGGGTTCCATTGACCCCCATTGACTTCCATTGACCCCTGCTGAGTTCCATTGACCCCCATTGATCCCGTTGACCCCCACTGGGTTCCATTGACCCCCATTGGGTTCCATTGACCCCCATTGACTTCCATTGACCCCCATTGACACCCATTGACTTCCATTGACCCCCATTGACCCCCATTGTTCCATTGACCCCCACTGACCCCAATAACCTCTCTCCCCTTCCTCCCTGCAGGCCCCCCATACCCCCCACCCCTATACCCCCCCAACCCCCCCACCACCACCATGGCCAGCAACGTGACCAACAAGACGGACCCGCGCTCCATGAACTCCCGCGTCTTCATCGGCAACCTCAACACCCTGGTGGTGAAGAAGAGCGACGTGGAGGCCATCTTCGCCAAGTACGGCAAGATCGTCGGGTGCTCGGTGCACAAGGGCTTCGCCTTCGTGCAGTACGTGGCCGAACGCAACGCCCGCGCCGCCGTGGCCGGGGAGGACGGCCGCATGATCGCCGGGCAGGTCTTGGGTGAGTCGATTTTGGGGGGGGAATGGGGGTTAATGGGGGTAGAATGGGGTTTAAGGGGGGTAGAATAGGGTTTAATGGGGTTAGAGTGGGTTTTAATGATAGAATGGGGGTTAATGGGGGTAGAATGGGGTTTAATGGGGGTAGAATGGGGTTTAATGAGGTTTAATGGGGGTAGAATGGGGTTTAATGGGGGTAGAATGGGGTTTAATGGGGGTAGAATGGGGTTTAATGGGGGTAGAATGGGGTTTAATGGGGTTTAATGGGGGTAGAGTGGGGTTTAATGGGGTTTAATGGGGTAGAATGGGGTTTAAGGGGGTTTAATGGGGGTAGAGTGGGGTTTAATGGGGAGTGCATTGACCCCACTGTGGTACACTGACTCCTGTTGGGGTGCATTGACCCCATTGGGGTGCATTGACCCTTACTGGGTTGCATTAAGCCCTATTAGGCCCCATAGAGCCCCATTGGGGTGCATTGACTCCATTGGGGCCCATAGAGCCCCACTGAGGTCTGTTAACTTCATTGGAGTCCATTGACCCCCATTGGGGTCCATTGACCCCCATTTGTATCCAGTGCCCCACATTAGGCCCTATTGACCCCCATTGGGACCCATTGACCCCATTGGGACCCATTGACTCCCATTGGGACCCATTGATTCCCATTGGGACCCATTGACCCCATTGGGACCCATTGATTCCCATTGAGACCCATTGACCCCATTGGGACCCATTGATTCCCATTGGGTCCCTTGACCCCATTGGGACCCATTGACCCCCATTGGGACCCATTGACCCCCATTGGGACCCATTGACCGCCATCGGGGTCCATTGACCCCCATTTGTATCCAGTGCCCCACATTGGGCCCCATTGACCCCCATTGGGTCCCTTGACCCCATTGGGACCCATTGACCCCCATTGGGACCCATTGATTCCCATTGGGTCCCTTGACCCCATTGGGCCCCATTGACCCCCCATTGGGACCCATTGACCCCCATTGGGGCCCATTGACCCCCACTGGGACCCATTGACCCCCATTGGGACCCATAGAACGCCATTGGGACCCATTGACCCCCATTGGGACCCATTGACCCCCATTGGGTCCCTTGACCCCATTGGGACCCATTGACCCCCATTGGGACCCATTGACCCCCATTGACCCCCATTGGGCCCCATTGACCCCCATTGGGCCCCATTGACCCCCATTGGGCCCCATTGACACCCATTGACCCCCATTGGGTCCCACTGACCCCCATTGACCCCATCGAGCCCCACTGACCCCCATCAAGCCCCATACCCTCAATGTACCATCGCTTCTACACCCCATTGCCTTCCACCCCCACGTGGCTCTCAGCCTCAAATCCCCCCCCCTCCTCCTCAGCCCCATAACATCCCGCTATGGGGCTGGGTGTCCGTGTGTGTGTGTCCCCCCCGCCCCATATCTCTGCCCCATAGATATCAACCTGGCGGCCGAGCCGAAGGTGAACCGGGGCAAGGCCGGGGTGAAGCGCTCGGCAGCTGAGCTCTATGGGTCAGTACCTGCCCCACCTTCTCCGGCCCCTCTCGTCAGGTGGGGCCCCACTTGGCTTCTATCTCCTCCCACCCCTATTTCCCCCTCGCCCCATAGATCTATGGGGCGCGCGGGGCTTTGGGGGCTTACTTTTGGGGGCGGGGGGGGTGTTTTCTGCCCCATAGATCGTCGTTCGACCTCGATTATGACTTCCAGAGGGATTACTATGATAGGTAAGGGGGGGGGGGGAGATGTGGGGCAGGGGGGTGGGGGGACCCATAGGGACCCATTGAGAGCCTGTAGGGACCCATAGAGAGCACATAGGAACCCATAGAGAACTTATAGGGACCCATAGATACCCTATAGACCGCCATAGCCCCCCATAGAGACCCCATAGACCCCCATAGACACCCCATAGACACCCCATAGACCCCCCAAACCCCTCATAGATCCCCATAGATCCCCATAGACGCCCCATAGACACCCCATAGCCCCCCCCAACACCCCATAACCCCCCATAGACACCCCATAGACCCCCATAGAGCCCCATAGACCCTCCTAGACTCCCATAGACACCCCATAGACCCCACATAGACCCCCATAGACATCCCATAGACCCCCATACAAACCCCGTAGACCCCCATAGACCCCCATAGACACCCCATAGACCCCCCACACCCCTCATAGACTCCCATAGATACCCCATAGACCTCCACAGACCCCCATAGACACCCCATAGACACCCCATAGCACCCCATAGACACCCCATAGCCCCCCACAGACACCGCATAGACCCCCATAGACCCCCCATAGACCCCCATAGCCACTCATAGACACCCCATAGACACACCATAGACCCCCCACACCCCTCATAGACCCCCATAGGAAGCCCATAGACCCCCCATAGACACCCCATAGACACCCCATAGACACCCCATAGACACCCATAGACCTCCATAGCCCCCCCATAGACACCCCATAGCCCCCATAGCACCCCAACGACACCCCGTAGACACCCATAGACCCCCATAGACATCCATAGATACCCCATAGACCCTCCTAGATTCCCATGGCCACCCGATAGACCCCCCATAGACACCCCATAGACCCCCATAGACCTCCATAGACACTCCATAGCCCCCCTAGACCCCCCACACCCCTCATAGACCCCCATAGACCCTCATAGACAACCCATAGACCCCCACACCCCTCATAGATCCCTGTAGACCCCTATAGACGCCCCCCCATAGACCCCCATATACCCCCATAGACACCCCATACCCCCCAGACACCCTCCTATAGATGCCCCATAGACCCCCATAGCCCCCCATAGACCCCCCATAGCCCCCCATAGACACCCCATAGACCCCCATAGACACCCCATAGACCCCCATAGACACCCCATATACCCCCCATAGACCCCCATAGACACCCCATAGACCCCCATAGACACCCCATAGCCCCCCCATAGATCACCTCTCCCCCTGCCCCACTGCAGGATGTACAGCTACCCGGCGCGGGTCCCCCCGCCGCCCCCCATCGCCCGCGCCGTCGTGCCCTCCAAGCGCCAGCGGGTCTCCGGTAACACCTCCCGCCGGGGCAAGAGCTTCAACAGCAAGAGCGGCCAGCGCGGCTCCTCCTCCAAGTCCTCCAAGGGTACTTATGGGGTGCTATGAGGGGTCTGTGGGGCGCTATGGGGTGTCTATGGGGGTCTATGGGGTGCTATGGGGTGTCTATGGGGTGTCTATGGGGCGCTATGGGTCTCTATGGGGGGGTTATGGGGCGCTATGGGGTGCTATGGGGTGTCTATGGGTGCTATGGGGTGTCTATGGGGCGCTATGGGGTCTATGGGGTGCTATGGGGTGTCTATGGGGTGCTATGGGGTGTCTATGGGGTGCTATGGGGTGTCTATGGGGTGTCTATGGGGTGCTATGGGGTGTCTATGGGGTGCTATGGGGTGCTATGGGGCGGCTATGGGGTGCTATGGGGTGCTATGGGGTGGCTATGGGGTGTCTATGGGGGTCTATGGGGTGTCTATGGGGCGCTATGGGGTGTCTATGGGGTGCTATGGGGTGTCTATGGGGTGTCTGTGGGGTGTCTATGGGGCGCTATGGGGCGCTATGGGGTGCTATGGGCCACTATGGGGGTGCTATGGGGCGCTATGGGCTGCTATGGGGCACTATGGGGCCGCTATGGGGCGCTGTGGGGACACTATGGGGCGCTGTGGGGCGCTATGGGGTGCTACGGGGCCGCTATGGGGTGCTATGGGGTGCTGTGGGGTGCTATGGGGGTGCTATGGGGCGCTATGGGGTGTCTATGGGGTGCTATGGGGGCGCTATGGGGTGCTATGGGGCTGCTATGGGGTGCTATGGGGCTGCTATGGGGTGCTATTGGGCCACTATGGGGTGCTACGGGGTGCTACGGGGCGCTATGGGGCGCTATGGGGCCGCTATTGGGGTGCTATGGGGCCGCTGTGGGGCGCTACTTGGCCGCTATGGGGCCACTTCAGGCCGCTACGGGCCCACTATGGGGCGCTATAGGGTGCCTGTGGTGAGGGGGGGGGGGGGAATTGGGTCGAATTTTGGTCATTTTGGGTGCGTTTGGTTCATTTTGCGGCGTTTTGGGGTGAATTTTGGCTGGTTTGGGCCATTTTGGGGGGATTTGGGTCGAATTTTGTCATTTGGGGTGAGTTTGGCTTCTGAATTCTGTCAATTTTGGGCTGAATTCTGTCGATTTTGGCTCATTTTGGGCTGAATTGGGTCGATTTTGGCTCATTTTGGGCTGAATTTTGATGATTTTGGCTCATTTTGGGCTGAATTCTGTCGATTTTGGCTCATTTTGGGCTGAATTCTGTCGATTTTGGGCTGAATTGGGTCGATTTTGGCTCATTTTGGGCTGAATTGGGTCGATTTTGGCTCATTTTGTGCTGAATTCTGTCGATTTTGGGCTGAATTTGTCGATTTTGGCTCATTTTGGGCTGAATTCTGATTTTGGCTCATTTTGGGCTGAATTCTGTCGATTTTGGGCTGAATTGGGTCAATTTTGGCTCATTTTGTGCTGAATTCTGTCGATTTTGGGCTGAATTTGTCGATTTTGGCTCATTTTGGGCTGAATTCTGATTTTGGCTCATTTTGGGCTGAATTCTGTCGATTTTGGGCTGAATTGGGTCGATTTTGGCTCATTTTGTGCTGAATTCTGTCGATTTTGGGCTGAATTTATCGATTTTGGCTCATTTTGGGCTGAATTCTGATGATTTTGGCTCATTTTGGGCTGAATTGGGTCCATTTTGGCTCATTTTGGGCTGAATTGGGTCCATTTTGGCTCATTTTGGGCTGAATTGGGTCGATTTTGGCTCATTTTGGGCTGAATTCTGTCATTTTTGGCTCATTTTTGGCTGAATTCTGTCGATTTTGGCTCATTTTGGGCTGAATTAGGTCGATTTTGGCTCATTTTGGTCTGAATTTGGTCGATTTTGGCTCATTTTGGGCTGAATTTTGATGATTTTGGCTCATTTTTGGCTGAATTTTGTTGATTTTGGCTCATTTTGGTCTGAATTTGGTCGATTTTGGCTCATTTTGGGCTGAATTGGGTCCATTTTGGCTCATTTTGGGCTGAATTGGGTCGATTTTGGCTCATTTTGGGCTGAATTCTGTCAATTTTGGCTCATTTTGGGCTGAATTTGGTCAATTTTGGCTCATTTTGGGCTGAATTTTGATGATTTTGGCTCATTTTGGGCTGAATTGGGTCCGTTTTGGGTGCGTTGCAGTGAAGGGCGACGACCTGCAGAGCATCAAGAAGGAGCTGAGCCAGATCAAGCAGAAGGTGGACGCGCTGCTCGAGAGCCTGGAGCGCCTCGAGAGGGAGCAGAGTGAGCCCCGGCCCCACACTTGGGGGGCAGCCCCATAGAATCTATGGGGCAGAGCGTGGCGCGTGGGGGGGCTGAGCTGTGGGGTGTAAGGGGTTGATATATAGGGTCTATAGGGGGGTATATGGGTTTTGGGGGGGGAATCTGTGGGGCTGCCCCATGGAATCTATGGGGCTGCCCTATAGAATCTATGGGGCAGAGCGTGGCATGCGGGGGGGCTGAGCCGTGGGGTGTAAGGGGTTGATATATAGGGTCTATAGGGGGATATATTAGGTTTAAGGGATGGAATCTATGGGGTGCCCCATGGAATCTATGGGGCGCCCTATAGAATCTATGGGGCAGAGCCTGGTGTGCAGGGGGGGGCTGAGCCGTGGGGTGTAAGGGGGTTGATGTATAGGGTCTATAGGGAAATATATTAGGTTTAAGGGATGGAATCTATGGGGTGCCCCATGGAATCTATGGGGCTGCCCTATAGAATCTATGGGGGAGAGCATGGCGTGTGTTGGGGCTGAGCCGTGGGGTGTAAGGGGGTTGATATATAGGGTCTATAGGGGGGTATATGGGTTTTGGGGGGGGAATCTGTGGGGCTGCCCCATGGAATCTATGGGGCAGAGCGTGGCGCGCGGGGGGGCTGAGCCGTGGGGTGTAAGGGGGTTGATATATAGGGTCTATAGGGAAATATATTAGGTTTAAGGGATGGAATCTATGGCGTGCCCCATGGAATCTATGGGGCTGCCCTATAGAATCTATGGGGCAGAGCTTGGCGCGTGGGGGGGCTGAGCTGTGGGGTGTAAGGGGTTGATATATAGGGTCTATAGGGGGATATATTAGGTTTAAGGGATGGAATCTATGGGGTGCCCCATGGAATCTATGGGGCAGAGCCTGGTCTCTTTGGGGTCTCTGTGGGTCTTTATGGGTCTCTATGGGGTCTCTGTGTGGCTCTATGGTTCTTTATGGGGTCTCTGTCTCTATGGGGTCTCTATGGGGTTTCTATGGGTCCCTATGGGTCTCTATGGGTTCTCTGTGGGTGTATGGGGGTCTCTATGGGGGCTCTATGGTTCTCTATGGGGTCCCTATGGTTCTCTATGGGGGCTCTATGGGTGTCTATGGGGTCCCTGTGGGTCTCTATGGGGTCCTTATGGGTCTCTATGGGGTCTCTATGGGTCTGTATGGGGTTCCTATGGGTCTCTATGGGTCTCTATGGGTCCCTATGGGTCTCTATGGGGTCTCTCTGGGTCTCTATGGGGTCTCTATGGGTCTCTATGGGTCCCTGTGGGTCTCTATGGGGTTCCTATGGGTCTCTACGGGGTCTCTATGGGTCTCTATGGGGTCCCTGTGGGTCTCTATGGGGGCTCTATGGGTCCCTATGGGTCTCTATGGGGGCTCTATGGGTCTCTATGGGTCTCTATGGGGTCTCTATGGGGTCTCTATGGGGTGTTTATGGGTTTCTATGGGTTCTCTATGGGGTCCCTATGGGGTCTCTATGGGTCTCTATGGGGTGTCTATGGGTCTCTATGGGTCTCTATGGGTCCCTATGGGTCTCTATGGGGTCTCTATGGGGTCTCTATGGGTCTCTATGTTGCTCTATGGCTCCCTATGGGTCTCTATGGGGCAGCCCCATAGCCCCTCCCCCCTCTCTCTCTCCCCTCCCCCCCCCCAGAGCTGAAGAGCGAGAAGGCGGAGGAGGAGCTGTGTGGGGGCGGGGCCGGCGCGGGGGGCGGGGCCAAGAAGGAGGAAGGAGCCGGCGGGGGGGGGAAGGGCGACGGCGACGACTCCCCCGAGGAGGGGGACCTGGAGGAGGAGGAGCCTGAGGAGCGCGAGCACGAGCAGGTGGGGGGAGGGGAGAGGTGTGGGGCTGGGACCCATAGCGGGGGGATGGGGGAGGGGGGGTGTGGGGCTGAGGACCCATAGGGGGGGGATGTGTGGGGCTGAGGGGGGATGGGGGGGGGATGTGTGGGGCTGGGACCCATAGAAGGGGTTGGGGGGGGGAGGGGATGGGACACATAGCAGGGGGATGGGTGGTGTGGGGCTGGGACCCATAGCGGGGGGATGGGGGAGGGGGGGATGGGACACATAGTGGGGGGATGGGGGAGGGGAGATGTGGGGCTGGGACCCATAGAAGGGGGGATGGGGGAGGGGGGGATGTGTGGGGCTGAGGGGGGATGGGGGGGGGATGTGTGGGGCTGGGACCCATAGGGGATGGGGGGGGCTGGGACCCATAGCGGGGGATGGGGGGTGTGGGGCTGGGACCCATAGCGGGGGGATGGGGGAGGGGAGGTGTGGGGCTGGGACCCATAGAAAGGGTTGGGGGGGGGATGTGTGGGGCTGGGACCCATAGAAGGGGGATGGGGGGTGTGGGGCTGGGACACATAGCGGGGGGATGGGGGAGGGGGGGATGTGTGGGGCTGGGACGCATAGAAGGGGTTGGGGGGGGGGGTGTGGGGCTGAGGGGGGATGGGGGGGGGATGTGTGGGGCTGGGACCTATAGAAGGGGGGATGGGGGGGATGTGTGGGGCTGGGACACATAGCGGGGGGATGGGGGAGGGGGGGATGTGTGGGGCTGAGGGGGGATGGGGGGGGATGTGTGGGGCTGGGACTCATAGAAGGGGGGATGGGGGAGGGGGGGATGTGTGGGGCTGGGACCCATAGAAGGTGTTGGGGGATGGGGGGATGTGGGGCTGGGACACATAGAGGGGGGATGGGGGGATGTGGGGCTGGGACCCATAGCGGGGATGGGGGGTGTGGGGCTGGGACCCATAGAAGGGGGGATGGGGGAGGGGGGGTGTGGGGCTGAGGGGGGATGGGGGGGGGATGTGTGGGGCTGGGACACATAGAAGGGGTTGGGGGAGGGGAGGTGTGGGGCTGGGACCCATAGAAGGGGGATGGGGGAGGATGTGGGGACACATAGAAGGGGTTGGGGGAGGGGGGGTGTGGGGCTGAGGGGGGATGGGGAGGGGATGTGTGGGGCTGGGACCCATAGTGGGGGATGGGGGGGGTGTGGGGCTGGGACACATAGAGGGGGGATGGGGAAGGGGATATGTGGGGCTGGGACCCATAGAAGGGGTTGGGGGAGGGGGGGTGTGGGGCTGGGACACACAGAAGGGGGGATGGGGGGTGTGGGGCTGGGACCCATAGAAGGGGGATGGGGGGTGTGGGGCTGGGACCCATAGAAGGGGTTGGGGGATGGGGGGTGTGGGGCTGGGACACATAGCGGGGGGATGGGGGGGTGTGGGGCTGGGAGCCATAGAAGGGGGGATGGGGGGGTGTGGGGCTGGGACTCCTGCCCCATAGCCCCTATAGCTCCAGCCCCATAGAATCTTTGGGTCCAGCCCCATAGCAACCTCTGGGTCCCGCCCCACAGCTCGAGTCCCTGAAGGGCGACGAGAAGGAGGCCGAGGAGGGCGAGGACGACCGCGACAGCGCCAATGGCGAGGACGACTCCTAAGCCCCGCCCCCCTCCCCGTTAAGCCCCGCCCCCCTTTCACCAAGCCCCGCCCCCTTTCATCAAGCCCCGCCCCCACACCGTGGTGTCGTGACCCCTCCCCCTTCTTTTCCCGCCTTTTTCCTCCTCCCCCATAGGTCGGTTTAGACGCGCCCCCCTCTGATGACGTCATTGGCTCCGCCCCCTCTATTTGGCCACGCCCTCCCCCTTTTGGCTCCTCCCCCCCTCTCTCTTTTGGCCCCGCCCCCCCCCCCCAACTTCCGGTTGATTTTGATACCGTCGGGATTGGCTTCATTAAAGGTGGAAACGTTTGTAATGGGGGGGGCTATGGGGAGACCATATATGGGCATGGGGCGGGACCCATAGGGACCATGTATGGGCATGGGGAAGGACCCATAGATACCATGTATGGGCATGGGCGGGGCTATGGGGAGACCATATATGGGCATGGGGGGGGGACACCCATAGACACCATGTATGGGCACAGAGTGACCCATAGACACCATATATGGGCATGGGGGGGACGCATAGACACCATGTATGGGCATACAGGGACCCATAGGGACCATAGACACCATATATGGGCATAGAGGGACCCATAGATACCATGTATGGGCATAGAGGGAGCCATAGACACCATATATGGGCACGGGAGGGACCCATAAATACCATATATGGGCATAAAGGGACCCATAGACACTATACATCGGCATGGGCGGGGCTATGGGGAGACCATATATGGGGGGTTATGGGGAGACCATATATGGGCATAGGGAGACCCATAGACACCATGTATGGGCATAGAGGGACCCATAGACACCATGTATAGGCATAAAGGGACACATAGACACCATATATGGGCATAGAGAGACCCATAGACACCATATATGGGCATAGGGGGACCCATAAATACCATATATGGGCATAGAATGACCCATAGACACCATTTATAGGCATAAAGGGACACAGCCACCATATATGGGCATGGGCGGGGCTATGGGGAAACCATATATGGGCATAGAGTGACCCATAGACACCATGTATAGGCATAAAGGGACGCAGAGACACCATATATGGGCATAGAGAGACCCATAGACACCATATATGGGCATAGGGGGACCCATAAATACCATATATGGGCATAGAATGACCCATAGACACCATGTATAGGCATAAAGGGACACATAGACACCATATATGGGCATGGGCGGGGCTATGGGGAGACCATATATGGGCATAGGGAGACCCATAGACACCATGCATGGCCATGGACCCATAAACACCATAAATGGGCATAAAGAGACGCATAGACACCATATATGGGCATGGGCGGGGCTAGGGGGAGACCATATATGGGCATAGAGTGACCCATAAACACCATATATGGGCATGGGCGGGGGCTATGGGGAGACCATATATGGGCATGGGGGGACCCATAGGCACCATTTATAGGCATAAAGGGACACATAGACACCATATATGGGCATGGGTGGGGCTATGGGGAGACCATATATGGGCTGGGGGGGGGCGCATAGACACCATGTATAGGCATAGAGTGACCCAAAGGGACTATATATGGGCATAGAGGGACCCATAGACACCATATATGGGCATAGAGGGACCCATAGACACCATATATAGGCATAGAGGAACCCATAGACACCATATATGGGCATAGAGGGACCCATAGATACCATATATGGGCACGGGGGGGGGGGGGGGGGCGGTATGGGGAGACCATATATGGCCATGGGGGGGACCCATAGACACCATATATAGGCATAAAGGGATACATAGACACCATATATGGGCATGGGGGGACCCATAGGGACCATATATGGGCATAGAGGGACCCATAGATACCATATATGGGCATGGGGGGGGGACCCATAGACACTATATATGGGCACAGAGTGACCCATAGACACCATATATGGGCATGGGGGGGACCTGGGACCCATAGAGACCCCATAGGGACCCATAGAGACCCCATAGGGACCCATAGAGACCCATAGAGACCCATAGGGACCCATAGGGACCCATAGGGACCCATAGAGACCCCATAGGGACCCATAGAGACCCATAGAGACCCATAGGGACCCATAGGGACCCATAGAGACCCATAGAGACCCACAGAGACCCATAGGGACCCCATAGGAGCCCATAGAGCCCAACGAGAGCCACAAGATGGCGGCGCCCAGGGAGGAAGCCCGCACCAAGATGGCGGCGCCCATCCCGACACCCAAGATGGCGGCGCCCAGGTCCGCGCCGTTCCCGCCTCGAGGCGGGAGGAGGCCGCTGATTGGTCCGGCAGCGGGCGGGATCGGCGCGCGTTGATGACGTCAGACAGCCGCGACGAGGAGCGGACCTGCGGCGGGGCCTTAAAGGGGCCGCGACCCCACTAAAATCGGCGCAAATTGACCCAAAAACCCCTCAAATTGACCCAAAACCACCTCAAATTGACCCAAAACCATCTCAAAATTGACCCAAAACCACCACAAATTGACCCAAAACCACCTCAAATTGACCCAAAACCCCTCAAATTGACCCAAAACCCCCTCGAATTGACCCAAAACCCCTCAAATTGACCCAAAACCGCCTCAAATTGACCCAAAACCCCTCAAATTGACCCAAAACCCCCTCGAATTGACCCAAAACCCCTCAAATTGACCCAAAACCACCTCAAATTGACCCAAAACCACCTCAAATTGACCCAAAACCACCACAAATTGACCCAAAACCGCCACAAATTGACCCCAAACCACCTCAAATTGACCCAAAACCACCTCAAATTGACCCAAAACCACCACAAATTGACCCAAAACCACCTCAAATTGACCCAAAACCCCCTCAAATTGACCCAAAACCACCTCAAATTGACCCAAAATCACCACAAATTGACCCAAAATCACCACAATGACCCCAAACACCCCAATTTGACCCAAAATCAGCAGAAATTACCCCAAAATCACCTCAAAGTGACCCAAAACCACCTAAAATACCCGAAACAGCCCAAAGTGACCCAAAACCACCTCAAATTGACCCAAAACCACCGCAAATTGACCCAAAACCACCTCAAATACCCCTAACAGCCTAAAGTGCCCCAAAATCAGCATAAATTACACCAAAATCACCTCAAATTGACCCAAAACCCCCTCAAATTGACCCAAAATCACCTAAAATACCCGAAACAGCCCAAAGTGACCCAAAACCACCTCCAATTTACCCAAAACCACCTAAAATACCCCAAACAGCCCAAATTGACCCAAAACCCCCTCAAATTGACCCAAAATCCCCTCAAATTGACCCAAAATCCCCTCAAATTGAACCAAAACCACCCAAATGACCCCAAATGAGC